AGGTTCATTCAAGCTTCATTTCTTAGCTAAAAGGGTTGATAGCAAAGATCTTTATCGTCTGGTCGGCTACTATTCTGATGAGCAAAATAGACAAGCACTGCCAGAGAAGAGCCTGCTCTGCATGCTATATTGGTAACAGTGAGAACACAAAAAGATATGCCTTTGGAATATAATTGCCTGATTTCTCAGATGTCCTTCTGGATCCAGTCCTGGCTGCCAATTCTCCTATCTCCAGTTTTAATCTCCAGATAATTCTAGTCGGGTACCCTGAGTTTTTGAATACAGGCACTGACGCTGCAAGTTTTTAGTGCTTGAAAGAAACATATCCTGGGAGTATTATTAACCACAATCAGTTATTATCCTGTAAACAGAGGAAAGAACAGAGGAGGCTGAACAGCTCCATGTACCTGGTGCAAAAGCTGAGTGACCCAAGGAGCCTGCTCTCAGCTCATCCTCTTCAAAGCAGTGATGTAGCTTTGTTTAAAGCATCAAAGAGCCCAAACCCTCACCAGTGTGCAAGCAGAATCCTACACAGCAGCTGTCAGAGGTGCGCAGAAATGGCAACAGAAGGGACAATATCCTGTTCCCAGCCACCACTTTTTGGCTGGAGATGAACATATAACCTTGTTTAGAAAAGAACAAGAGCAACCATATTTGAATTCCAGCGCATGCTGGTTATTCAGTCTCTCTTCCTAACCTGAGGTACTGTATTTCCCCAACAACCAACCCAAGCCATTTTCTCCTTCTGACAACCAGCACCCATAGGTATGGTTGATCCTCAAAGCAGCCCCTGCCTTCTATCACCTAAACACTTTTGTAGTTACACATCCCAAAGCCCCAAACCTGCACTCAAAAGAGACATTCTGGGTTTGTTTTCTGCTAGTCCCAGCAAAATATGGAGCTCTCTGTCCTCTTTCTTCCCCTTCTGATGGTAAGAAAAACAGCAACTGAAGGAGACTGAAGAGATCAAGCTGATGACCCAGAAGCATCAGTGTGAACCAAGCAGTGTGCTGGGGCTGTGCACGCAGAGAGCTGAGATGGCACTTTCCTCAGCCCATAGCACTGAAAAGGGGCCAGAGTAAATGAAACCTATGGGCTGAAAAATGATGATGAGAAGACTAGTTAGCTGCTTGCATTACATAGTGCTTGGTAACAGGAGTGATCACACACCAGCCAAGCAGTTAGGAAAACTGCCTTCTGCAAACAGATTGGATGTCTGCTCCTGAGCCAGTGTTTTTCCACTTTGTGTGTACCAGGCTCCCAGATGCAACTGCAAAGGAGCAGATGGTTGCTGCTGGCCCCAGCCAGGGAGCTTCTGTCCCTGAGGCTGCATTTGGGACACCCAATTCAGGACTATTCCTACCTTCTTTAAGCTCATGGAGGGAAGGTTTAGATCAGATGTCAGGGGGAAGTTCTTCACAGAGAGAGTGGTGAGGTGCTGGAACAGACTACCCAGAGTGCGGATACCCCATCCCTGGAGGTGTTCAAGACCAGGTTGGATGGAGCCCTGGCAGCATCCAGATCTGGAGGTTGGTGGCCCTGCCTATGGCAGGGGGTTGGAACTTGATGATCCTTGGGTCCCCTCCAACCCAAGCTGTTCTATGATTCTTGCACTGTGGCTCCCACCCAGAAGAGCATCCAGGGAGTATTTGTTCTCCTGGACAAGCCAGAAATGGAGATAGAGGGCACAAAAAGTGCAGTGATGACAGAAGAAAAAACAATAAATAGTGGCAGTCTGTAGGAATGAGCCAGGACACTCGGTGGTGCAGAACCCTTCAAAGGAAAAGCAGCAGGAGGAGGGAACCCAAAGCAAACATCTCACAAAGAGCTGGAGTAGCAAGACTTGGAGTGTGTGCCTCATTCTGCACAAAGCAAGGCCATGTGCACCCCTTGCTGGGGACGGCCTCAGAGTCAGTGCCAGCAGATGGCAGTCCTGGGTGTGCAGCCACCATGAAGATGCAGCAGACTGTTGTGCAAGAGGTGGGCTACAAACCGGTCACACTGGGAATGTGCACCTTGAATCCCATCCAGACTGTCACTGAATGTAAGTCCTTCCCAGTCTCTGGGGAACACAGAGCCTGAGGGCAGACTAAGGCCCTAATGCAGTGAAAAATGGAAGGCAAAAGCACAGCCATGCTCCTAAATGTGTGATGGTGGCAGCTTGGTTGCATTCACCCAGGAGTGAGGTTCTATTGCAGCACTCTCCATGGCTGCCCACTGCTGTGCAGTTTAATCCTTGATGAGAGATCCATCTGAATTACCTTTCAGACCTGGTGAGCTGAAGGAGCTTTTAAGGCTCTGAACCTTCCATGAGGGGTTTCCAAGACTCACTTGCCATAGGTTGACTTTCAAAAACATGAGGTGTAAGCACTGGTGGCTCAGGCAGGAAAAGAGGGAGCAAAACAGGACAAAACAACAGCTGAACAATAAAATGTCAGTGAGGATGTGAGACCAAAAAAAAAAAAAAAACCTGAATATTCATGGAAAATGGGGCAAAGTGAAAAATAGATCCACAGAAAATGTCAAAAATGAGAGAAAGTTCCCATGAAATCTATTTTGTATACAAGGCAAATTCTAAGGAAGCCACATTTGGGCCATGCAACATAGGCTTTCTTCTACCTAGAAAAACAATTCCACACCAAATATTGACTCACTGCTGGAAAAACAAAATCCACATAACTGTCTGTTACGGGTGATAAAAATCTGGGAATCTGCTGATGCCAGGAAAGCATCTCATGAGGCTCAGGGGAAGCTCATCCCAGTATAGTTGGACCCAGTGGGAAACTGGCATTGGAAAAAGGAGGATGAGGGTTTGTGAGATCCCAGGCAGGCAAAGAAGTGTGCAGCAGCCTCAGCAAAACTGTGCACCTCTCCCTCTAGGGGTCATGGTGACTTCATAGAACGAGTGTGCAGGACCAGGCCTCGGTGCTGAGTTTTCTGTGCCTGAGGATGGGCTTCAAAGAGACGTCACTCTGTGGCTTCTGACCATCTTCAGCTCAGCAAACAGCACAGAAGGAGCTCTGTGGCTTTGCTGCTCCATTTTGCTCAGCGCTCAGGTGGTGCTGAACTGCTTCCTGTGTGAGAGCCAAGTGTGTGCAGTGCCCATGGCAGGAGCGAGGTGACTTTGCAGTGAGTGAGATGAGTTTTATTGGACTCACCATCCTCACAGGGAGCATGGAGTTGAGGAGCAGCAGCCACCTCTCCTGCTTGACCCCCAAGCCCTCCCAAAGCCTGGGGACATGCTGCCAATATTTTCAGGGTCACAAGTCACCCTCTGTGGCTGACAGCTGTTCTGGCCAGCCAGCAGGCAGTAGCTGAAGGAAGCTATTAATTTCCTTTTCCATTGAAGTTTAAAAAAAGAAAAATCTCATCTTGCAACTATGACCAAGAAAGGAGGCAACAGCACAAGGCAAATAAACAGTAGTTAATGTGCTTCAGGGAGATGTTTATGTTTCATTCCTGGAAAAATCAGGGTATCAGCAGTGCAGTGCTGGGGACGGGCTGAGAGCTGGGGTAGATGGCCTGGATGGAGCCAGGTCCTGCCACTGCCCACCCGTGCAAGGGGACAGACAGACAGCACCCAGCTGTTTGGCCCCGCAGCCTGACAGCAGAGCCTCCCCTGCTATGTCACTCTCTGAGCCCCCATGCAGCAAAGGCACCAGGGATGGAAGGGCAGCGGGGCTGGAAGTCCAGGGCCATGTGTGTGAGCAGACCAGAGGCTGTTGGAGAGAGTCCTTCTTGCAGCAAAATACCATGCTCCAATACCATGCGGTGCTGGGACCCGCTCAGGCAATATTTATCCCCTTGGAGATGAAGTGATAAATGGTGACATCTGTAGCTCTGATCTGTGTAACCCGAGTCAAATAAAATCCATCCCCAAAAGCCAGACTGAGATTCCTTCCTAGGCTTTGTTTGTTTGCAGCTCATGCCTGACTCCCTGCAGCCGGCCAGGCTTGGATTTCCTTACAAAACCTGGGTGCACAGCTCATGGAGATGGTTTTTGCTGAACTCTCAGAGAATGAGCTGCTGCACCAAGCCACTTTGCAGCAAGTGATCCCTGTGAAGGCACTGCTAAGCCCCAGGGTGAATTTAAAGAGAAATTCGCAAATGATGGTGCTTGGATCATTTTGAAATAGCCAGTTATTTGCCAAAGGGAGGCAAAACTCATGGTCCTGACCAGCAGCATTCACTGAACTACTGTCTTTGCCACAAGAGTTTCTGGGCCCCAACCTGCTCAAATTTCCCTTCAGATAAGTTTTTCTACACGGGCCCCTCTTTGCTCACAAAACCTGACCTAAGACCACAGTGCACTTTTTCCATATCCTGCTCCTGCTCACTTGCAGTGTTGTTGTGTTTCAGTGACGAGCAGAATAATCCCCACACATAAATTATATTTATAGCATACCGTTGGATCTTACGGGATGAAAAATACTGCAGCAATGTAAGTTATTATTTTTTCCATCGGTCCAGAGCAGTGAGTTGAGTCCCCTTTAGGAACGTCTTCTCCATAATTAGGAAAATGTCACTGTGACTGTTTATCTTAATCAGTGGATCTGGAGCTGTGAGTGCTGTGAGCTGCCCATGGCCAACCACGAGCATCCCCAGATTGATTTATCAGCAAGCAAAGGACGGAAGGAGGGTTGTGTTACACCAGCCCACCTGCCATCTGTGGAAGAAGGTAAAGGCAGATAAAGCTGCTGTGCTGTCACTTTGCAAGGACGGTGCTTTGCCTGTGCCAATGGTAGGAAGGCAGTGGGGCTCCCTGTGCCTGCAGGACAGGGGTGCATGTCAGGAGGATGGGCCACACTGAAGACTTTGTCTTTGTTTAGGTCACACATTCAGAAAGCTGCTGAGAACAAAGTAAAGAGATAGAAATATCCTGAGCAGACAGGATCGTACTTGCATGTTGCTTTCTTGTTTGTTTTTTTTTGTGGGATTTTTTTGTTTGTTTTTGTTTTTCCTGGCATAACAAACAGCTCCTGATAGCAAAAGGTGGAAAAACAAACCTGCACAGTGCAAAAACAAAGAGCAAACATGGGCATGCTCAGTTCCTAGCTGTGGGAGGCTGCTGAGATGGGCTGTCATCACCCTGGCCAGAAGGGACACATGGGGGGGCAGATGGCCTTTCCAGATCATCTGGCAAATGGCCTGATGGGAAAGATTGGATCTTTTTGACTCAAGATTGTGTGAAAAGACCCTGAGGATGTGGCTCAGGGATTGGCATGACCATGGCCCCCTCAGGTCCGTGTGTCCTACCAGGCACCAAGCAGTGTGGATTTCTTACCAGCGCCTCTGCAGGTCCAGATCCATGTGCCACAACCCCTACAGTCCCTGCTTCAAGCTGTCCAGTGCCTCCCTGCCAGCTCCACACTCCACTATTGCTCTTTGGAGAACACCACACTGAGAAGCAACCTCACCTCGGTGATCCATGAGGCCTTGCTTGGCTGATACAGATGTGTTCAAACATGATTTGTACCCTTTGATTTCACTGCCATTTGTCAGACCACGATAACCACCTTATTAAATCCACCTCTGCCTTGACAAAGCATTGTCAGGAAGACTGCAGATGTCAGCTTTGTCTCTGGGACAGCTTAATCTGCCTCCACTCTGTAGCTGGCATGGAATAATAAAGCTCCCCAGCTCGGATATGTTCTGCAAAAGGTCACATCCTACGCAGGAGCACCACTATGGGAGGAGAAGGGAGCTCCTGTCCCCCCAGCAGATGCGCTGTTCCTGGCCCTGCCCTGCTAACAGAAGGACAGAGGGAGCATCAGCCCCAGCTGAAAATCCAGAGCATCACCAAGGCCGGGTGATTCTTGCTGCTGCTTGGAGTGCATTCCTCAGGTCTTGCCTTCTCCCTGTTGCTTGCATCTGTGCATGCTCTGGAGGGTGCTGCTGCAAAGGCAGGGGATCATGCTGAAAGAGCACTGCTGCCCTGACTGTGCTCATCTGCCTGGGGGTCATGTGCAGGACTTTGGTGGAGCCAGGCACAGAGTGGGATCCCCTCATACGTAAAATGTTGATGAAAGAAAAGAAAGGAAGACACGATCTTGCCAAATTTTACTGTGGAACACACTGTCATTTCAATCTTCAAAGTGAAAGATGTTAACGAAAATAGCTTTTCCTCCAGCATTTCTGTAAATGCTTCCTACACATAAAGATGCATCTTTCCCTTTGGAAGACTGGCAACACTGAATTTAGCAAAAATTACACTTTTTTCAGTGGAAAATATTTCACCGAGTGCATTTACTTTTCATTGCACACTGGATTTCCATGCACTCGCTGAAATATTTTCCACTGTGACAGCCAATTGCTGTTCTAATAAAGAGTGTTCCAAAGGAACTACAAGCTGTGGTACACTTCTTGCAGGGAAGCTGCTGCTGTAACCCAAAGCCATTTGCTTTTGCAGTGGTTTCAATCAGCTTATCAGAGACGGGGCAACTTGCTCTCTGCTTTTCACACAGCTTCAATTTGCTTCTCAGCTCTGCAACATTTCTCAGTGTTGCAAAGGAGGTGTCCTCTGCAATGCTGCTGCTTTTGCTTTGATCTGCTTTTGCTAATGTTAATTGCCCAGAGAATAATTAATTAAAGCTTCTCTCCCATTATGTAATACGGAGGCTCGTGAGACCTGCCTGAGCCCTGGCACTGGGTTTGTTACAGCCCTACATCACACCTGACTGTGGTGACACTGCAGCTCAGGGTTTCTGGCATCATCCCCTTCCCAAAAGGATCTTTTCCTCATCATTATTAGTGCAGGAACAATGGCAAAGCTGCTGCTCCAGAAGGACTCGTGATCTTTCCATACCCAGATGGACAACAGTGACTTTGAGTGAGCCTTTCTGACTCTGTTTCTCATAAATACACGGCTGGTTCCTCCATCTGCACTGGACAACCTCAAGATGGGTTGCCACCCTCTGCTTGGGAGCTTCTTTCCATGAAAACCACCAAAAACCCAACGGGACAGTGGGGAAGGGACTGTTTGCTGGTCAGGGACTTTAAAGTGACACGCTCTGCTTCTACAGTGGCACCATGGAGCAGAAAACTCTCAACTTCTACACCTTTTTAGGAAGTTGCTCCCATGCAGCCCCTGTATCAGCAAGACATGAAGCTTCTTGGAGTCTAGTAGGCACTTCTGCTTTAAAATATTATCTCCTTGTGAAGAACACTGCTTTTTCTCTGCAAAGTTGGTGTTTCAGTGAATATTTAATTTGATGTCAGCCAGCAGAAGTAGCAATGTACAGCCAGCCTATGGTTCACCTACAGGAGATGGGATCACATAAGAAAACACGTGTAGCACATGTAGCCCCTCATTAATTTTGCAAGACCAAATATGTTGCTAGATATAGACTGAGCTCAACTGCTTCATTTTTCCCTGTGTACAACCAAGCAGAACTAAGCTCTGCCAGATTTGGGTTTCTTACAGTTTAATTCCTCCAGGGGAAGCATGCGAACATTTATCAGAAACTCAGAAGCAGAGTGAGAAATAACCCTCACATTTATCACTGACTGCTGAACCCTGAGCCAAGTACCTTCACTACAGCTTAAAATTCAGTAGTATCTGGCTTAGAAGGAAATCTGTTTGCTGCTGGGCGTTCTTCTGTCCCTTGTCCTGCACTTTTTGTCCCTGGATGCCCATGTCTTTCTCCTTTGTACAAATTTATCCCTCGTTCCAGAGCAGTGCTACAAAGGAGATTAACAGGGAAACTGGGTGCTTGCCTCAATGGGTAACAAATTTTGGGAAGAATGCAGCTAAATTTTGGGAAGAACGCAGCTTATGGGAGAAGGAAATCATCCACGCACTGTGTGTTGAGTGAATCATTTCCCCTCCTAGATTTCCCTCACGCTCACTACTAAAGGTGCTGCAGTTCTTTTGCTCTGACATATTTGCAAGAAGCCTTTCTGCCCAATCTTTTAGAACCATCATTTTTTTTATTTTGAAACTTGATATTGTTTTTCTTGTTGTTGTTTTGCTCTTGAGAAAAATGGTGAAAAAGAAGAATGAATGCTCTCCAAATGAGCTAAATAAGTCTCTGTTTTGGGTCTAGTTCATCCTCTTTGCTGTTGCTGTTCTGCAATGCAACTTTGGGAAAAACGCTCTCTTTAGTCTGAGCTAACTTGTTTTCCTCTGATTTTTGTTTGTTCACCAACGAAACTGAAAAATCAGCTGATCCTAGAGCTCTATTTACTGCACAAAGCATATTTGCAAATGAGATGGAAGAGTTCCTTATTCAAACAGCAAGACTGCAAGAAATGTCCAAGAGAGCTCAAGAGGAACAGCACGAAGGCAGAGCTAGATTTAGTTCAGAAGCCCTTGTCTTGTTCTTCTGTGTAAGATCCCATCTTTTTCAGAAGATTGACACAATGTCTGTGATTTAGAAATGGCAAAGGCTGTTCCTTAAGAAGCAGACATAAGCAGGGCAATACAAACATTCCGATGTGTCAAGGGTGGTCCCTCTGGTCCTGGTAGTATCATTACAATTGTGGGCACTGAAGAAGCAAGGGCTGCACAGGGAGGGGCAAATCCCTGGCTGGCCAAATTCAGCCCCAACAACTGAGGCAGTCAATGAGAGGGTTTTGGCTCTGTTTTTTCCAGGGTTATTTTTACTCCTAATGAACCCTTGGTCCTGGTGGAAATGAGCTCAGTAGTACAATGCTTCCTGTGATCACCCTCGCCCCGTCCCCAGCTAGCCAGGGTGCTGCAGGACACTGCCTGGGGACAGCAGCCACCACAGGGCACCCCAGCATCCCTGCTGGGACCTGGGCATGGGTGGCCCCTGTAGCTCAGGAGGCTGGTGTCAGCAAACCAGCTCTGCACCACAGCCCAATGTAGCAGCTGTGCCCATCTCTGGAGCCACAGCGAGCATCCAGCTGAAGAGCAGCACCTCATGTTGACAGCTCTAATCCATGCTTGACTATAATGTCTCTTCCCATGCTGCCCAGGGCTCTGCCAGCAACCTGAAAACACAGTAAGCATGTCTGTGCTTCCTCCCAGTGGACAGCCATATTCCTGAGGCATTTCCCAAAGGAGCACTTTCCATTTTCCTAAATCACTGTAGTGAATTTGAAAGTAATCCCCCAGACAGCCTGGAATAATTAAGTCCTTTCAGCCACCTTGAGTTTGAACTTGGACACGACTTATAGTTGCAATAGATAGCAAAGGTGGAGAACCGGCCCCTCTCACCTAGGCAATGTCCTCTTCCTGCCCACCAGTACATAGTTTCACCTCCAGCCCTTGGGAACACGTTATGATGAACACAGTGTCTTATCTCTGGCCTGAGGATTTCTGCTTATTTCTGCCTATGGATGGGGAAATGAGAGAGAACAGTTCATTACCTTAATCTTTCCCAATGAACCTGTAAACTGCTGGGTGTGGGAGGGTGGAGGAATGAGGTCAGTGCCTTCTGGGCCATGGAGAAATTCCTCTGTAATTCTCCAGGTCGCAGGAACATCACAGTCCTTATCCCGGAGCACCTTTTCCAGAAGGAACAGCATAAACAGTTCAACCTTAATCTCAGTGATGCTCTTTTTTAGACTAAACCAGGCTGGCATCCATTTGATATCTGTCCAAGATGGACTCTCTCTTTTTCTCTTCTGTTTGAAAGACCATTAAAGTACTCTTTTCCTGGGTTGTAAATAGAAAGAAAGGAATTCCTTGTGTTGAACTCTCTTACTGCCAAGTCAGCAACAAGCACAAGGGAGGTGGCTGAGAAAGCGCAACAAACAGAGGTTAAGCTTTCTGAAGACTGAGGCTGGAAATGGCTAAAACCAGCACTGACTGCTATGGCCTCACTTTGTGTTAGCCTCTGAACTGCTCTTGCATCCAGCTTGCTGCAGGAGAGGGAGAGAGACAAGGAGAAAGGAGCAGAAATATCAAGAGAGAACAACTGATCAACAGCAAGGCATGAAGAGACTGGATGCAAAGTATTGTTATCCCAGTTTCGCCACTGGTCCACCCCATCCATCAACCCCTAATCCTGTCCCTGGTCAGACAAATGACAGTTGCTTCAGTAAAGGAAGTTTCTTTACCCCCAACACTGCGTATCCTGCTGCATGCAGCAGAGTGCATGCCTGTGCTTACTTAAAAGCCTGAAGGAGTCAGTGCTAATGGTGGGTCCTACATGGTGGAGAACTTCCTGATCATCTCCTTCTCTCTTTTCCTCTGGTACAATCCCAGCTGCACATAAACCTGACTGGGAGAAGGAGCTAGCTCATAAAAATGCATGTGCAGAATGGTGCTACAAATACCTTTACTCTTCATATGCAAGAAGAATGGAGAAAAATTAATATATGGATGACAGGCCTGATGTTTTGTAACGGCTGTCTGAGTGTGAAGGAGCTGATGTTCACTAGAGCCCATACCTTCAGCCTGACACATCTTCCTCTTTCTTCTGCCAAAAAGAGTTGAATAAGACCTACATTCTTCCAGGGCATGGTGGGTGACACCACATACAGCATCAGGCAGTGCCAGCACCACGTTCTCATGGCATGGCCCAGTGTCTCTCCAGGTGCAGCATCAGGTGATGGTATCTCCTCCGCCTCACTGCGTGCTGCCCAAACACCACAGCATGACACTGACTGCTCCCAGACCTCAGCCGTTCTGCAGAGAGGAGATAGACAGTCTTGGCTTCAGCTCTGCATTTCTAACTGATGTTGGCAGTGCTGTTGTGTAATTGTTTGTTTTTCAGTGGCTTTTTGTTATTTGTTTTTTTTTAAGATACTCATTTGATACAGTTATTTTAAGAAGTCCCTTCCCTATTTTATTTGCTGTTTCCACAAAGTTTAAACTGAAAAGAGAGATGAACTGGGAAGTAGAGTAGCCCTACCCAATATACTGCTCAAGCAGGGTGGGTCACACACCAACCACCTCCCAGGGCTTGCCAGGCTGAGATTTACTGTTGAAAGACATTGGTTGAGACCCCTCTGTGCTTCTGAGGAAAGCTGCAACGCTTGTACATAATGAGGTTTGAAGCAAGGGCTGCTAGATTTAACCTGTCATCTGACAGCCTCTTGCATAGTAGCAAGGAAGGTTACCATGCAATTGTCCTAAATTAAAACTTAATGAGACTGTTTTAGTACATAGCTATGAGTTACTCTCGAGGAGCCAAGATTCCCCATCTGTATGTGCTGAAAAGGCTCAGTCCCTTTCTTATGGCCTGCTGCAGCATGGGATGAGCCATGTAAAAGCTACAGGGACCATTTCTCCTTTAAACTGCCCAACATCCAGAGCAGTGAGAGGCTCACTCAAGCTTTTATCTTAGTTGCTCTGTTATAATTAACACAGGCAAAAAAACATTTAGTGATGACACACCATGAGAGCACTGATCTGTCCACAGAAGGCAAGGGAGAAAAAGATGCTGGCACCAACCACCCCACAGCACTGCCACCATTTATGTCCCTGTGTCAGCTCTAGTGGGGCAATGATTTGCCATGAATTCATGTCTGCTGTGCTGAGGAGCCCCCTGGCACCAGGGAAGCTTTATCCCTCAAGTGTGAAATTACTGCACCCGGGAAATTAAGAAGGAAAATTAATTCATGCTGTAGCTTTGCTATAGAAAGATAATTCCTGTTTCCCCTGTGCAAAATGCTCCGGGCATACTAATGGCCCTTGAGCATAGGTGCTGCTCTGAGAGTTGTGTGTTTTCTTTGGAAGTGACAACAACGGACTGAGCTGCCCCCAGACACAAGCTGGTGGCCTGCTGTGTGCCTGCCTGGAGTGGAAGTGGCACTGCTGCTCGAGAAGAATACTCTCAGTCAGATGTTTCTCATAGTTCATAGGAAATTTAAAAAAATAACAGGTGGAGATGCTCACTTGCATAGCAGGTATCTTTAAGTACTTCTGTCTGAGCAGATAAAGACAGATGAGATGCTGCCTTGGCACATTTTTCTGCACTTTCCTTTCATTACTGTTGGTACAGATTAAATAGAGACTTGGTTCTTCCCCTGCTCCCAGTGTTCCCTCTCATTAAATACCAAAAAAGTAGAACTGCATTTAGCATGTTTCCCATCAGATAAGACAATTGCAGTCAAAGCAGGAACAGAGATGGCAGCACAGAAGAAACACTTCACCAAAGGCAGCAAAGCCTAAATCCCCTTTGGGGACTCTGAGAAAATGGAGAGAAAAGCCAGCTGCCCAGCTTTGCTATCAACAGTGCCGAATTATGTTTGAATTATAATGAATAACTGCAATCTATTACTGCCATTCATGGTTTCTGCACAAAATAACTACCCTACTGATAGTTTGGTCTGGTTAGAAAGAATAATTCCAGTTCAAAGGGACTTCTAGAGGTTAACTTGTCCAACCCTGAACACAGAGCTGTTCGAGAAAAAAAGTACTCCTATAGGGAAATAAACTGGGAATAAAGTCAAGTTTCAGTGTGAAACAGAAACAAAACATCTCACTTGGGGTTCCTGCAGCCAAAAGCCTATGCAAATAATAATTGTTGCATATTAAAGGAATGAATGCTCAATTTCTTGCTTGGTTAGCGATGCTCTTCACAGAAAACTGAGTACTTACAGTGACTGATGCTCAGATCAGATCAGCTTCTCATATCTGTGCCCAGCAGCACACTGCTGCCTGTCACTCCTGCTGCTCAGCATCCTTTTCTGCAGCATTCAGAGCTGCCAAAGTCTGGCAAAAACAAGTGCCTTCTCAATAGCCATCTCTCTCAGCAAGCTGCCCATCCTGAGAATCACTCTGCAAAAAAAAAAAAAACAAAAAAAACCCACACAAATCCAAGAGTCAAACTTCTGTGATGTCCACTCATCTCTGTCCTCCAGGCAAAAGAAGTATTAGGAACTTACTACATACTAAACAGAGACCTCTAAGACCATCAGGTCCAAACCCAACCCATCCCACTGTGCCCACTGACCACATCCCTCAGTGCCACGTCTCCACAGTTCTTGGACACCTCCAGCAATGGTGACCCCACCACCTCCCTGGGCAGCTGTGCCAATGCATCACCACTCTGAGAAATTTTTCCAAACGTCCAACCTTATCCATATACACATGTTAAAGTATGAAAAAGAAAGACTGGAAATTACCATTACACTGGAAGCACGCATGTTTGTCCTAATGGTCACTCAGTTTGTCAAGAACAATCTTTTTAAAGCAAACTCTGTATTAGCAGTGTGGTAGAAAGAAAAAAAAAACCTCTGGGAACTCAAAAAATGGTTGAGCAATGATTGCTAAGTCAGCAGATAAGGATATTTTGATATGAAGAGTGGGTAGAATGAATATACATACATATGGCCCCAGATATTTAAGGTCTTAGCTTACTTGTGAATTGTTTGGCATTTTATATATAGCACACAGTATTTAAAAATAGTCAGCTTCTATCAGTAGATCCCACACAGCTGTGTCTATAAGCAGCCCAGATATTTGCCAGTTTATACTATGTTATCTCAGAGAGCACCTGGACAGTCACGGCCAGCAAATATTGCTTTACTGATGGTGACTGTTGTCAACATTAACAAGAGCAGATGGAATAATGGAACATTTATGTACACATTATCTGATGCTAAATGTGCAATCTCCATCTGACCACCTCCTGGTTTACAAATCAAGTTGGCTACAGTCTGAACCAAATCGTTGGGGAAATATTATCTGATGAAGACATGCCAAAACACGTGTTATTCTCTTAGTGAGTATATTCCACCACCGTATCACTCCACTGCCATGTCATTGCATGTTTCTGCCAAAAGACTCAAAAGGTTATTATATTAATATTATATTTAATTACATTGCATTCTGCTCTTAAAAAATAACATAGATGATGAAAAGCAATAGAGGTCAGCATCTGTTCTTCCACCATAAATGTTACCAAGTCATAAAGAAATCTCAAGACACCCATCATAAATATATGGCATAAAAGAGCCTTACTACCGGTCCATCAGAACTGGGACCCAAACCCCAGCGTACAGAGGAGTGAGATCCTCTTCCCTAAACAGTTTATACAAGTGCTGCAGTTATGTACACTGTGGCAGGAGGAGAAAGGAAATGGGGAATAAATTCTGGTTTTCCATCCATCTCATCCAACCAATTTCTCTCACAGTATTGTTTTCAGAGGTGATTGATTGGAGCATGGTGAAATATGCCAAAATGCCATGGTTCTGCCTTCAGACACCATGGGAATTTGGTTCCTGTTGACAAGTTGCAAGCCATTAGCACAGACAGCCTGCTTAGGAAGAAAAAACATCCTGGCCCCGGATGATTGTCCTCAGAAAAAAATAAAAAGCCATTAAAATAATTGAGCTCCTGATTTAGTTGATCAGAAGCAGCAGCATGTGTTTTCTGCACTCGGACAAAGCGTCCTACTCTGCAGAAAGGGGACACTCTTTGGCCAAGCCCAACATGGGCCCCAGAGCAGCAGAACAGGTCAGCACAGCTGGGGGCGGGGGATGCATCCTGCCCTCAGTGCCTTGGTTTCAGTCAGCAGCCAGCACCAAGGCTCAGGAGCCAACTGCCAAAGGCAACAGCAGGGCTGGAGCACACTTGTGTGCTCTGGGCCTCAGTTCTGTAAGACAGGAAATGCAGGTGATTTTCTGACAGCCTTTGTACAGCTGCTGCTGGTCCTTCAGGACATCTTTTTCTCTGGGTGCTCATGGTTACCCCACCACTAACAGGTGGTGGTGCTGCCAACGTGAGGCTGGAATGTTTGCTTTTGCATAAAGCAACCAGACTCCAGCCAGAACTAACGGCTTTTTACCATCCAGAAATGCTCCATATTTAGGAGAAAAGAGGAAAATTAAAAATAAGAACCTCTGGATCTCGAGAGCTGGAAGAAATGAACAACTGCCACAGTTTTGCTAGCAGCAATCACAAACCACCCTCAGCTGACAGTGATACTGCTGCATGGGGAGCTCTGCTAGCAGCAAGCTCTGTGCAGAAGTAACAAAAGCCCTTTGGTCACCCACACACCAAAGCTGGAAAATCAAGCAATGCATCACAAGAATCTGCAACCTGTTGCTGGGGATGGGCTGCAGCCAGCCCTTGTTAGCAGCTGGGCACGGCCAGCACCCATCCCAGCATGCCTGCTCTTACACGAGGAGCCCTAAGGCCAAGCTCCCAGTGCAGCTCGAGTTTGCTGGAAGTCACTTGTCCAGGCTGCACCACAGAACAGGATCTACACGCAATAAGCAGCTTTCTGAGATTGAGTTAGCACCTTGCCATCACTCCAATTATTAATACACACAGGGTGCAGGTTTATTGCTGTGTGTACTGCAGACCGATAAAGATTATCACTTAATTAATTCACAACTGGCGTGTTGTTAGGCTTAAAGCCAAATGCTCTATTTTATCAGCATGAATAAACACTCTGGAGTCATTTCTCCATAAGTCTATCTCAAACTGGCTTCTGAAGTTAAATCTCTAGAAAGAAATTAGTTTGAAAGTGAAATAACAAACACCACCTCCCTCAGGGTGGTAACAATTCTTGCATGACGCTGCACCATTCCAACATTTGTCAGGGGGCTCAGGGTTTTCATCACCCAGCAACATTACCCAGCAAAGAAACCATTTACCTTTGGAAGACACAGGGATTTCCAGCAAGATGCTCTTGTCTCCACTGCCAACCCTTAACTGAGGGCTGGGAAGGGGTGGATCCTGGCTCCATCCCTTCCAGTCATTCACCTGCATTGCATGCACCTGAGCTTCCCTGGGCTGGCCCTGCCTTCCCACCAGGTGCTTCAGGCTGTGACTTAACATTTCTGCTACAGGCCAAGTCCTGTTTGATACTACAGTGCTGCCAGGTGGGTGAAATTTAAGGCTAATTTCACCTAAGGACGGCCAATAGCAGCACAGTGTCTCCCCTATGCTGTCTCATGTTGCTAGGCTGTATTCTTGCTGTCTGGGGCTGTGCCCATAAGGAGATGTACGGCACAGAACATTAGAGAAGAAGAAACTTTGCACCTTCCTTTAGTATAGGGTGTGGATGACTTATTTCAGCCCTTTTTTCCAGGAAGTCACTCTCCTGGCAGCACAGCGAGGTGCTCCAGGAAACTGGGAGAAAACCTCCGTGTGATAGATAGCATAGGAACACTTTGGAGACTTGGCACCACCTCCAGCTTCTCCTGCACGCGGAGGCTCTTTCACTGAAGATGCTCAGGCACCACGAAGGGATGCTGTTACTGTACCTGCCTGGGTGCACTGAGGGATCCTCATGGGGCAGCTGCAGATTCATGGAGCAGCCATTACCTCAAGGCATAGGAGCACTGGGAGCAGAGGTGTGCCCCTGGGGTAATGGGGTTTTGCAGCAGTGCTTCACGGCCTTACAGAGCAGCCCATAATTTATTAGGGGAAGAGAACTTGGACCACTGTGGAACTGGCTTCTATATCTTAAACAAATTGTTTAAAGAAAAGCAACGTGTCTCATCTTTGCATTGGAAAGCATCCCAGCACAAGGTCTGTTTGCCTTGCTTTGGCAACTGTGGCTGAAAAAAAAATTTGTGAAGGGGAGCAGCAAAAAAAATAAATGATTTGGAGCAGCCTGGTCCGGCTGACACCTCCATCTGCCTGGCAGGTCGGGCCACACTGACCCATCCCACTGCACAGCTGCTGCCCTGGGACATGGGGGGATGGCTGAGGCACAACAGACAGACCAGATGTGGGATTCAAACCCTGGCACCAGCAGTGGATAGACTTATATTTGACTGGTGAAGTGAGTCCTGGAGAACTCAGTATTCTGAGACCACAAATGTTGATCTACCTACTTCATTTCTAGGGGTGAGCTTTAATTTGTACAGCTGGGTAAATTCAGGCACCTCACTTCCACGCTTTCCTTTAGAATCACAGAATCATTAAATTTGGAAAAGACCACGAAGATCATCTAGTCCAACCATCAACCCATGCCCACCAGAGCGCATCACTCAGTGCCACAAATGCAGTATAGCCTTCTGAAAATGTATCCTCCTCATTTAATTTGCCTTCAAGAGGATTAGGTCCCTCTGTGTGGTAAGCATGTCTGGAAGGGGCACTGCATATTTGGGTTACTGAAGACAGCATAACTTACTTTTGGGGACATGAAGAGGCTTGCTGTAGCTTTTGTGGGTAACACTGCACCTCCGTTGTACTTCGACTAGAATGTCAAATAGCATCAGTGCACTTCTACTCCTGGAAACAGTGGTGAGCTCACACACTTGTGTTAGAGATGGCAGCATGAGTTCAGGAGGATCAGCATGGTTGCAATCCTATTAGCACATATAACACCTATATACACACATATTCGCAGTCTTTTCTGGAGCCAGGTAGAACACCAGTAGAGTTCAATGGGCTTTTTTTATGCAACCACATCAGAGTGCCAGGACTGCACTGTGGCACTACCAGCTGTGTCCCCTTCATATGTATATATATATATGTGTAAAAAAAAGCAAACACTAGATAGGATCTAGATAGGATCACCCCGTTTTCAACTTGCAGCACCTTCTGCCAAAGGTCTGCAGCTACAGGCACAATGAAAGCATGAAGGCCTGCACGGTACCTGATGCCCACCAGCCATTGCACTACAAACACTGAAAGCTTGCACAAGCAAGCTCAATACATAGCAGGAATGAGTAAATGAGGAGAAAAAAAAAAAAAAAAAAAAGTAAATTCCAAAAGAAATCATTTGAAAGATGGGTGTCTGAAGCCAGCTGTTTGAATAAATGCTTCCAAAGCTGGGAGGGAAGTGGTTGCTGGCTGTCACCTATAGTGGCTACAAGGGGTGAGGAAGAGCTGTGAGCCAGGAAAGGATCAAACCACCGGAGCAAAAAGTATCTGGGGAATTGTTTTGCTCTGCCTAGACTCGGTGTTGGTAAATCTCTCCAGACTGCTGCCTGGGGAGCACAGAGCTGTGATCTGCCCCACAACCACCCTGCTAACACACATCACATTGCAGTCTCACCTGCAGTTTCTTGCTGAGGATCTCTTTCTTCTTTACACAGATTGCAAATACAGACACCTGTAATGTATAACTGCTGCAGGAAGGAGAAGTGGCTGCAGACCCCTTCCCTCAACACCCTGCCCAATGCAGCCCCACAACCCTTCACAGTCACTCATTTCCTGCAGCTGTGAGGATCCACGCTGTCAGAGAACTTTTATTGCATGTTTCAGGCAGCAAAAAAACATTGTACACCCATGTGTCAAATGCCTGACTGATGAACCGTGCCTGGGAAAGCCTCTGACTAAGCCTTGTTAGTCAATTATGACTACTTTGAGGAGCCACTTAATTCACCTCTGTAATGCACACAAGCCTCATCAGCATCCTATGGGCGTGTTACACTAGCAGCAACATTTTCCATGATCCCAGCACCTCCTTACTGACCTGAAGGTTTGCTGAGGGCACCTCAGCTGCTTGCAGTCACCCAGAAATGAAAGGGCAGGTGACAAGCTGGCCTAGCAATTTTTGCCAAGACAACATTCCACATGGCTCCGTGCTTCAGAATTGAGACAGGGATGCATGCTGGCAAAGCACAGCACATGGCCATCACCAACAGCTCTGCTGCAGTACCACCATGCCAGCAAGCCCAGCTTCCCTCATTCTTATATCCCAATTCTCAGGTGTGTGGCAATCATGAGAAATGGTGCAGCATGCTAATTAATGTCTGCATGCTATGTGAGCCCTTTTGCGCTGGATGGAGAGAAGCAGCGCAGGCTCCCCAGAGAGATATCCCATAAGCTGTTACTAATCACTAAGCCCTCAAAACCATTTAAAATGACGTGTCTGGGATCCTCTGGGCAGTGGTGTGCTATGAACCCCAGCTGGGCTGAAACTGGGCACCGGGCACAGCGTGGTGCCAGCTCAGGCAGTGATTATGTTTGTGAACAACTGTTTTGGAGGATGATGTACAGAAAGAGTAGAACTTCTGATGAACATCTCCAGAACTCACTGAGAGTTGCAGCCATCGCCATCAAACCAGGGACTGTTTCACCAAAATAAGGTCACATAGCCCCCTGGTTTTATGGTTCTGGTGCTCTCTTTTTTATGTTTTAACACAAGCATTAAAGATTAAGCTTTCTTGCTTTATATACATTAACTATAATATATATTTAATGAGGGCTGCTCTGAAAGTGATGCCTCCTATTTTACAGTGTTGGCCTGGGATGTCAGACACAGATGACACGAAAGTGCGTATGGAGCAAAGGGATGAGACTGAATTCCTCCATACAGAAAAAAATGGCACCCGTTGGCTTTCATTGACACTTGCTGAAGTCAATGGAGACCAAACAGCGGATGTGAGCACAGTGAGGTGGCGGGTGGTGCATTACAGCAGTGGTTCACTGGTGCAGATTTTTATGAATGTGGCATGCAGCTTTTGCTCATAACTGGCAAAAATGCATAGCCAATAGTGGTGACTGTGGAAAAATAGTGTTCTGTAGCTGAGAATTTGCTCAATCAGTGTGTTACTGTGCTCTTTGTATCGTGTCCGTGGAAATAAGTAGGAGGCGTTACTTTTGGAGCGACTCTTCACTCAGTGCAGCCCAGGCAAGCCAAAAGGTTGAACACCCATGTTTTAAGCCAACAACCTGATACTTCAGACAAATAAACCCAAACCCCTCCCTGGTTAATTCCTGGATGCTAGAGCACTCCTTAGGCATTTAAAAACCTTAATCCTTTAGCAAGCATAGAATGCTTACTGCAAGCACTTTCTAAAACAGAGGCAGCCAATTCATCTCATACACTTCTGGCTTTAGCTCAGCTTGGTGAGGCATTATATGAAAGAAACACGTCCCAACAAGTGTAATCTGGGCACTGGAGGAAGTTGGATTTTTAATTACTCTTGGCATTTAGGTGCTGTTGGGTGCCAGCATTCAGCCTGCTGGAGAATGACATCACTGTGGGCACTGACAGCTGCCAGCCTGTTTTCCCATCACTGGGAGGAGGCTTCTACCTGTGTATTTACCTATCTTTTCAACTTTGGAACTTAAAATTTACAAACATTTATCTTCTTAACCAAGAAAGCAGGAGGCCTCTAATTTTATGCCTGCAAAAGAGTTCAGGCAGTTAATTTTCTCAATCAATTACACATGACAGCATATAGCTGCAGCATTATCATATACAGAAAACTTTCCACATATACAGTATTTAACTGGATTGACTATTTATTGAGAATTAGGTTTTCTTTGCCAAAAATGCTTTTATGAAGGCAGCCTGATGAATATCTTTAATTAGTTGGCAATCATGCAGCAATATAAAAACGTACCAATATCAAAGATTTGAGGGCTTGTGGTGAGGCTGTGGCATCTTTGTGTATTTCAAATGTGGAAATTCCTTTTGCTCACAAGTGAAGGGGAATCCCTGCTTTGTTCCTAGAGACCAGCCTGACACCTACACAGCACAGAGTCGTGGAATCACCAAGGTTGGAAAAGACAAGCAAGTCCAGATGTCCACCTTCCACCAACACTGCCCACATCCCTCCACGTTTCTTGAACATGACAAGGAACCCTCTGCTTCTCCAAAGGGACACCCAGACCTGCTGAGTTCAGACGGGTCTGAGTGGGGCTGTGCACATCTCTGCGTCAGGACACATCACTGCTGCTGGCCAGAGCCCTGCAGGACACAGACAGATTGCACAGACAGTGCTGAGGAGCTTACATGTAATGATGTACCCTGTGCCAAGGCTAGCACT